GAGAAGCACTGCCTAAAAACGAATGATTGGCTGGGGGATAAAGGGCATGTTTAAAAGTGATAAAGGGTAGGTTTAAAAGTGTAGTTATTATTATTTTTTAAATAATTTTTTATATTAAAATATATGTTAATAATATTTTTTTATGTTTTAAAAATTATTTTTAATATTAGTATATTAAAATAATTTGAAAACATTAAAAATATATTAATTTTAAATTAATAAAAAATAAAATAATTTTAAATTTTTTTAAAAATACTTTTAAAATGTTGAAACAAATAGTATCTGAAATCAAGCTCAAAGGATAGTAATAAAAAGATTACTTGTGGTTGCCGTTCAATCTTCATTTGATGGTTTTTTTTTAAATTTTTATTGTTTTAAAATATTAATATGAAAAATAATTTTTATAAAATAAAAAATATTATTTTAATATATTTGAAAAAAAAGTAAAATCTAGTTTGAACTTGAGATATCAACTAGACGATAATTCATACTTTCTTTCGAGCTTGTGTTAGAGAGTTGATTATTTGATTTAAGCAAGATCAAGCGGAGCTTAGGGGGGCGATAATTTGATTTCCATACTGGAACACTTATTTTCTCTGTATGCATCGTGAAGGGGAGGATCGTGGGACGCATTAATCTCTGTAATGGAGTGGTTTTATTTTATTTTTTAAATTTTAAAAGCCAATCACGGGTCTTGGTGTTAAAGGAGTGGGTAAGGTACTTTGTTGGAGCCATGGAGTGTTTATGCTAATCCATTACTTAATTAGCTATATAAATCCAAAATAAAACTTAATGATTCAAAGTCCATAGCGGATATGCCAATGATCCTCGAGGCACAAATCCCATATTAGGTAGAGGCTACTTGAACATGTGGTGGGGAGGATTTGCCCTCTAATTAATATCTTTAATTCTTGGAGCGCCATGATCCGAAGAATCCAAGCACCTAATATTTAAACAATTCAATGGGGTTAGACTGATCGACCTTATAAAATTATTCGGCAGAATTTTCACCTTAAGACTTGTCATTACACCATGCAATTATGCAAGAGGTCCAGGAAAATTGTTATTAAATGGATGCTAATTTAATCTAATAAGTTTTATTTTTTGTTAATTAGAAAAAAGAAATCTTTGCGAGGCCCCCATTTTGACACGAGGTGAAGGCAGCTCTCGAATTTTTTTATTTTTTATTTTGCATATCACTCTCATTGACTGATTTTATCATGTGATAAATTAAATCTACGAGCCCCCTTCAAATCATTATTCTTTGTTTGCTGCCGGCAAAGGACAACATCATCAATTCTCATAATTGGACCGACCATTTCTTCCATGCCCACAAATCCAGTTTCCCCTTCATCATCTCACCTCACTTGCCATGATTGAGATTTGTCCTTTTTCTTTTTTTATAACCATGGTATCCAGATTAATTTATATATATTTAAACTAATTTTATTAAACCGTAAAATTAACAATCAAATGAACCTCTAATAATCAAAACTCGAATTAGAGAGCAAACCGAAGAAATTGCATTCCCATTGTCATTCCACTCCACAGACATCATTGCATCATAGCATGTTGTGAATAGAGACCTCGAATCTATATGGGCTAGGCTCTAATCATGGATGCGTGTGGGCTGAAGTCGGGCTGAATCTCCAATCAGAACCTTGAGGTTAATGATTTGATATCCAGCTATTTGATGAGATATGAGGCATAAATTACATTAATCAATCTATAATTTTATCAACTGGCTATTCTTCCCCTTCTCCTTCCTTCCTTCCTTCCTTCTTTCTTTCAAGAGATGAGACTGCTGAGCATTGTATTGTACCGTGCAATTTATTTCACATACTCACATAAATGTCTGGTGTTGTACATTGATAGAATTGTGGAAGCCATGGAATAGACTTGACAGGAGGAGATGCTTAATTTCAGAAAGTAAATTTTATTGTTTAAAACTTTTTAAAAAAAGATTATCAAATCGACGCAGGCCAGCAGGTAGCCAATACCAAGGTCCAAGGCAAGCAAAGCCCTGTCGCCTATCCTTACTTCTCCTATATCACAAAAGTCCTGGAGGCTCAGAAAAATGTAAATTCTCGTGGACAACCTCTACTCCCACATTGGCTAATCTGTTTGCTGTTAGCTCCCGCGCTGTAAACATGAAAAACACCCACGGCTTGCCAGTCCTTATCTAAACCAGGCCGAAGTCAATCCTATTTTGACTGCCCATAGCTCTGCAGTAACGACATCAGTCCAATAAAGCCCGGCAGTAAATCCACACGATTTTTTTATATAAAAAGTTGAATAGACATTTTACTCGTATTTTATTCAGATTTAAATAGATTATAAGTCTTTTACTGATTTAAATTGAGTTAATCCTTTCTCTGATTTTTTTTTTTTATAAAAAATTCAAACTTGTATAAATCTTGAATCAATTGGGTGGACCTACTAGGTTAGTCTCAATTCTATAAATATAATTATTAATTTCAAAACTCAATATAAATTAAGAAAAAAAATAATATCTAACTATTTTATTTTTTTAATTGTATATTGTTAATAACAATATCTATTAAAAATAAAATAATTTTATTTTATTTTATTATATTTTATCCATCATAACTAAATATAATATAAAGATAGTCATTCTATCTTATCTCTCATTACCAAACATAATTTTATATTTATCTTCTTTTATATTTTGTATCTTATATTTTTATTATTTCTGTCGCTTTTGTTCTAACATAGTAATAAAATGTTACTTACTTCAACATATTATACTTATAAGTTAAGAAGTTTTTAATATATCTATATAGAAACACAATAAGCCCAAAGTCATCAAGCAGACCTCTCGGATCTCCTTTTAGAATTATGGGCTAGGGTGGCCTCATTTCGCCTTACCAACCCCAGGGAAACTGAACACAGGCCTAGATCGTTTGTACAGACAAACGTTTGGGGTGCTAAGATCCAAAGTCGAGAGGGAACTGCCCTAGAATTAGGATATTTTGGAACAATTACTAAATAACTTTGGTCTTATATTACTACCTCATCGTACTCTAGATGACCAACTTATGTTCCTTGTGTTGCTCATAGCTATCAATGCTTTCTAGGCAACTGCAAGAGGCGCCTCCTACTGCTAGGAGTTAAAGCAATGACCACAAGTTCACTCGCAGCAAATCTCCTTTTAGCTGAAGGTAATTATAGATTGGTAGTCATCTCTATATATTCGTAGCTACTGTACATAAAAATGAATTCTTGTCAAACCTCTCTCTGTCGTGGAATTGTGCAGAGATACCAAAAAACTATCCATGTTCTGTGAACTTTGAAGATGGATATCCATATTATTACCCCTCAGATTGGATAGTAAGTTATGCAGTCATATTATAACGTGGAAGCTTGAAGTTTAGCTCTCAAGACTCGACAACTTGTCGTCTATTTCCTAGGATTTTGACTTCAGGGGACTTTATTCTGCTTTTAAGGACAGAACGAGGCAATTGCAGAATGTTAGGGTGAGATTGATACCACCGGAGAAAAAGGAAATTCATGAATTGGGGTCCAATGGAAGAGGCAGAAAGATTGTAGTTTCGTTCCCTTTTCACGTCATTAAAGCCTAGATATGGTACTTCACAAGCTTTTCTCCTTGTCAGGTTATTTACCGATTGGGGAAGCACAGGTATACAGCACCAAATCAAATGCCAACCATATATAGCATGCAGGAGGTTGTATCATTGCCTATCCTTTCAGTTTATCGGCTCCTCTTAGCTAAAAACACTTCCTTCAAATCCGGCGATTATCAGACCCTCCCATGCTTGCTGATTTCGTACTTCCTGCACGAAGATTTTAACTTGATCTTTGCTCAGTAAATAGTTTACGAATATGACAATCACAGGCAGCAAGAATATAAGAAGTTTTCTTGAAAATTATGTTTGTAAGCCCATGAGTGCTGAATCATTCTTGTGATGGATTTTAGCTTGACAGAAGTTTCACCTTTCGGCAAGTGAAATCATTATCTCTTGGCATACTGAATTTCTTTGACGGGTTTCTTCTGAACGCAGAAAACTGTAGACGGAAAAAAACCATCACTTTTGAGTACGGACTTGCATCTCTAAACAGCAACCATAGCTATTGCTAATGGTAAGCATCATATCTCTTGAATCGTCAACATTCTATATATTGCCACTATATGCCAACAGAAGCGAACAGCAGGTGATACTGTGTTAACATGGACACAAGCAGATAAAACAGTCCATATGAAAGCCTGTAAGAATAGGGAAAGTGTAAGAACAGGGAAAGATATAGATGAAGCTGCTTTTCAGAATCTGGATTGATCAATGGTTGTATTTCTGTGTAGGGAGTTCTTGCACACTGATTGTGACGGTGGAGAAGATTTTGCAGTCAGCTTAAAGTGGAAGCCGACTCTTTCAAGGTGCTTGAAATGCTATACGGGTTAACGATGGTTGAATAAGAAAAATATTCATGCGTAGCGCACACATAATTAGTTGACAATTTTTGGCGATGAAATTGCTTTTACCTTGGACCCTGGCTTGGCTTGGCAATAAAAACTGAATGATGCTGCTTTCGAGCACAGTGCACATTTCTTGTGAATAAACTAGGTGGTAATGGACATAGACAAAGGCGAAGCGGTAGCCTCCATGAACACCAGATGATTGATATAAAACAGTGCGGAAAATGAAAGGTCGAAGAGGAGGTTCAGGGCGGGGTGGCCATTTTCAGAATCACCACCTGAAAAACATGACATGCCTTTTTCTCTTGACCATGCAAGAACACGACTTTCGTAGTAAAACATTCCTCACGATGTAAAGAGCTGGATGTAAAGTTGAAATTCCTACCATGGCATGATAGTACAGTTTCAAGGCATCAGAAACATATCCATCCTTGTAATAATAATAATAAAGCATCAAACATCATACTGCCTTGTTTCCAGCAAAAGCATAACAATGGCGCTGATCTAACTGACAAAAAAATCAATCCGATTGTGAGTAAACTAGTAGAAGTTAACAGGTTATAAATTAACCGCGTGGTTATTTACAAAGATCGCAACAAATTCTCTCACCTCTTACCCTATTCTGAACTTTCTTTCAAGTTCACAAATGTAAAATTTACAGTAAACACACCCAAGCTAGTCAGTCGCATAAATTCATTTAAGGGAGAAAAATACTCACAAAAGAGAACAAAAACCAGGAAACACACCCCATTAGGACTAGAATTATCTCCTCCACCCAATCCCTGACTAACGAAAAAATCAATCATGGAGACGAAGCAACAACGTAATGCTTCCCTCCAAAAGAATATGGTCGCATCTAGCCTCTCGAAAGAGCATTTCCTCGCCAGCCAAACAAAATCCAAGATCCCTATTTCTAAATCCTACATCTGAACAACATAGCTATCACTGCCACCACTGCTCCATCTCATTTTAGCCATAGAAAACGCTGTCAAAAGCTTCATCATTCTCATTAGCTTCTTGTGTAATCTGGAAACTCCAACCTACTGATATTTCTAGAAGCACTAGCAGGTATACACGTTTCAAGAAATTCAAGATGGCCCAGAAGAACTATACAGGTGAACCAGATGGAAATTTCAACACTGTAGCCCAACCTTAAATCAACCGATGTTGTCGCAAACCCTTTCCAAAGTGGGGTTGCATCAGACGGACATACAAACCATTCTTTGCCATCAAAGAATCATGGGCCCCTTCCTCAACAATTCGTCCTCCATTTAGAACCACAATGTTGTCAACATGCCTCATCATTGCAGTTCTATGAGCTATCAAAATGGTAGTTTTGTTTCCCATAATAAGAGTATCTAGTGCCTCTTGTACCACTCGACTTGATTCAGATTCGATGGATGAGCTGGCTTCATCCAATAACAAGATGGGTGCATTCTTCAACACCACTCGAGCTATTGCAATTCTCTGCTTCTGCCCTGGGGTAAGGTCCACGCCCCTCATTCCCACATGTGTGTCATAACCATGAGGCAGACTACTGATGAAATGGTGAGCATTAGCAATTCTTGCAGCCTCTTTCACCTCAGCCTCGCTGGCATTGTGCCTAGCATATATAATATTTTCTCTTATAGTTGTTGAGAAGATAATCGGTTCCTGCTGTACAAGACCAAGTGCTGAACAAGACCAAGATGATTCCTCAACCATCTCAAATTATAAAGTTTTAAATCCCGGCCATCCAGTAGGACTTGACCGGCAACTGGATCATAAAATCTTTCAATTAAAGAAATTATAGTGCTTTTTCCAGACCCTGAAACTCCCACGACAGCTACAGTTTGTCCTCCATTCACCTTGAGACTGAAATTGCTCAATACCAACATTTCTGGACGAGTTGGATAACAGAAATCCACATTCTTCAACTCAATGCTTCCATAAACATTAGGAGGCTTCAGTGCTGAGTTATCATCTGGGTCAATCTTAGGTTCTCGATCTATAATTTCAAACACTGAAATAAGAGATTTTCGCCGCTTAAGAATGTAGGGAGCCAATCCAAAAGGCTCCACCAGTGCAAATGTTGCAAAAGAAAAAACCATATACTCCTTGAGAGCCGTATGAAGATTCACATTGTGATTCTTTACAGAGTACGCAGTGTACCAGAGAAGAAGGGCATTACAGGCGAAGAGAAGAAACTGAGAAAAACCAAATCCAAAACCAATGGCCATTCCAAGGACAAAACTCTGCTTAAATATTTTCTGTAGTTGAAATCTGTAGAGCTCCATTACTTTATTACCCGCACAGAATGCCACAACTGTATAAATGTTTCTAACAGAATCCTCAAGGACTAATGATGCTTTTCTGTGCATCTCCTGGATGCCCCTAGAAAATCCAGCAAGCCACAACTTCTGCAATTTTTAAGTTGGCAGCCATTCAGGGTTTTGGCACAATAAACTATAAATAATGTAGTGTTTATAATTCAACTTTTAAGAGTGGAAAAATGCTTGATGGGATGGAATTAAAGCTCAGTCACTGAACATATCCGATTGAAAATAGCTGGATTTGCAAGGTTACGTGTATGTGTGTGCTTGTGGAGCTCGTACGACCATAGACTATCCCAATAAAACTGGTATTGAAAAATTGGTCTAATACAGTTTGTACCAAATCCAAACAAAAGCTAAAAACATAAGCAAAAAACTGTTAAGGAAAAGCATGCAACTAAAAGGCATTTTTCACTTTTCACAGGTTGACACTCACTGCCATATGGCTAATGCTTGATGGTTAATAGCCCCCTAATCAAAAGAAAAGAATGAAAAAGGAAATTGACTCATAAAAGAAACTCCTAGAAACTTTAATTACTGATCAGTAAGTGGTAACACAAGATTTATTCTGTTTCATTCGACTATGTAACATAAAAATCAGATCAAAAAACGTTTGTTGCAAAATTAAGTCATCAACACTTACAGAAAACTTCTCATGATAAAATGATGTCAGGTTAAAAAGCATGCAGAAACTGTTCAAACCTGTGCAATTGCAGAGACAGTGAGAACTGGCAAGGTTGCCAGTGCTACAAGAGCCAATCGCCACTGAAGCAGCATCCCAATGACAACAGCCACAATAACTGCAGCACTGTCCTGTATAAATATTGAAAGTCGGTTGCTGAATGCAGCTCTTACAAAAGTAGCATCATTTGCCAAGCGCATGGATAACGTGTCAGCACCATTATCCTCTTCATCGAACCATCCGACTTCATTCCGCAGCATTGCTGTGAGATGATGACCATTAATAAGTCATCGTCCACACAAATAACTCTATAAAGCATGGAAATAACAGCTGTGTCGGATGTGACACCTGGCACCATATTCTCAAAGAAACTAACAGAGATATTAAAGCTATTTACCTGAAAACATCATTCTGCGGACACGTTCAGTCATTTTCTCTCCCATGATACCAAAATAGAAGTGCTGCAAGAAATTGGCAACAACAGTCACCACACCCATGATGGCAATCATCAAGCACCACCTGTTTACCTCCTGCTGCAAGTGTTCTCCTCCTCCATAATAAGCAGTCACTATCAGTGAAATAACATAAGCAAGTAGTGGATTGAAAGAACCAAAAATAGCAGCACCAATGCTTCCTAAAACAGCATAAAGCCACTCTGCCAAACTAAGCTCTGCTAGTCTCCAAAATGATGGTTCTTCCAGATGCTTTGTATCCTTTGATTCCTTCACTTTAATTGGAACATCATCTGAGTGACTGTGGGGTCGACTGAAAGTCTGCGAGTGGGAACGCTCATTTTTAGGATCAGATGTCAAAAGTGGAGAAACAGGGGATTCAGGGTCTGAACCATTTGATGTCTGTCTATGTGCAGACTGGACATCAATCTTGGGTAATTCAGGTAGTCTCATTTCAAAACTATCCTGCCTTCTTATTGATGGTTCCTTATCAGCTCCATCCAAGGGAAGGCCGTTTTCCATCATCTTCTCTGGTGGTGGGCTGAGAACTTTTGGTGATTCTTGTGAATTAAACATGCTATCTGGAGGCCGAAATATACCAGGAGCTCTCTGAAGTGATGGTGACCTGGCTATTTTAGGGGAGGATGGTTCTTGATAGCTGTGGCCTGTTGAGGGATCCTTTTCAACCTGGAAAGCAGCAGTATCCTTGTAGTTTCTAACTGGCATCCTGGATAAAGGTGCATATCTCAGAAACATAGTATCATAAAGAGATGCAATTTAACTGTTTAGGAAATGTTTGAATCAAGCGTTTTAATTCTGCCAACAAAAGTTACACAATTCAAACATGAAAATTTCACTATAATGCACAACATCATTGTTCTCATACTATACCTCCTTGGAAGTTTTGCTGCTTCTTCGCATTTGAGAAGCTCTGCATATAGACCATTTAAGGTTAATAATTCATCATGTGTACCCATTTCAACAAGCTGACCCTCCTCCATTACAGCTATATAATCAGCATTCCTAATTAGACTAAGACGTCTAGCTATTATAATGGTTGAACGTCCCAACATGAGAAGATCTAGTGCCTCTTGAACTGCTCTCTCAGCTTCAAAATCAAGTCCACCAGTGACCTCATCAAGCAGAAGAATTGTTGGATTTAAAAGCACTGCCCTGGCAATAGAAAGTTTAATTTTCTGCTCCTCAGTCAATGCCAAACCAGCCCTACCAACCTGAAATGTACAGCAATTAATTTGCAGGAGGACAGCCAAGAGATAAGCAATAAAAATAAACAGGTCGAATAAATATCCTGTCCTTTAAATATTACCTGTGTCTCGTAGCCTTTTTCAAGTGAACTGATAAATGTGTGTGCATGTGCTATTTTGGCAGCTTCCTCAATCTGATCCAAAGTAGCATCTCGTCCATATACAATATTATCTCTTATACTCAAACTCAGCAAGGCAGGTTCCTGGGTGACCAGCCCTATTTGGCTTCTGAGCCATTCCAGTTTCAGGTTTTTAATATTCTCTCCATCAAGAAGAACTTCTCCTGAATGAATTGACCAAAAATGTTGGAATAAACATGTGGACATGGCTAAGTATATAGCATTATCTCAAAAGGAAATATAAAAATAAAATGGCCATAATACCTAAGTTAGGATCATAAAAGCGCTCCATGAGTGGGATAATGCTGCTCTTTCCAGAACCATTTCTTCCAACAAGAGCCACTGTCTTTTTAGCTGGTACAGTGAGGTAAAATCCACTCAAGATGGGAATCTCAGGACGAGACAGATAGCTAAAATAAACATTTCGAAACTCAATATTTCCTTGCACTGCCACTAGGTTGTTCCCATCCTGATTAACTGTGGAGGATGACCGACTTATCATCTCAAAGAGTCTATATGCAGCAATTCGTCCTTGGTCAAATGAATAGAAATTGGTTGCAGCTTGATTCAGCCCACTGTAAACACAAGGGAGACAAGAAAACCATAAAATATTGTTTACAGTGCTGAGAAAGAGGAGAACAAGACACTTACAGGCCACTTAAAATTATAGCAAACAGGGCTGTTACTATTTCACCACCATGAGCTTTATGACTTGTAACCAGAAACCTTCCAACCCAAAGTTGCAAGGCACAAGAACATATTGCAAGCCCATACGTAAAACCAAGCCCAAGTCCTTGAACAAGGCTAATCAAAATACCATATCTCAAAGTTGCTTGTAGTGATGTTGCATATGAATACTTTGCCAGAGTTTCATTTGTGAATGCATACAAGGTCCTACTATAAGAGACTGCCTGCACAGTTTATAAAATTACTAGTATTCAGTATCAATAGCATGTGATGAATCACCACAATAGTGGTATCACAAGTAAATTTAGAACTTGCAATATTTTAATTTTCTATCTGTAATCCAAAGAACAGTCTAAAAAAGGGTTACACCTACATTGCACGGACAAATGCTGACACTACAAAGCCCAGAAAAGCAAGAATATGCTTTCTATTCATGCATAACTGACAATCTGTTTAGTGCTTGAAGAGCCTCTCAAAATAGTTTGACTACCCCTCCTAACAATATGGTCCATCAAAAAATTAAATCTAAATTAAAGGTACAGACAGCCAACATATACAACAATAGAAAAACAAAGCGAAGCATTTGCAGGGATACATTTCAGTCTAATAAAACCCTCTCTCAACTAAATCATCAACAAAATATATTAACAGCATTAAGAGTACGGCACCGCAAACACATATCTTCATTAGCCAGTCATATCCCCATGGATATATAACTCCTTATTCCTAATTTTTCAGGATTATGATTCTGCTCAATTGCATAGAAACAATAAAAAATATAAGCAATTACAATGTCCACCATGGTGAGTAATAGAAACATGATATATAATCCTTATTTCTAATTTTTCAGGATTATGATTCTGCCCAATTGCAGAGAAACAATAAAAAAAATATAAGCAATTACAATGCCCACCATGGTGAGTAATAGAAACATGCATCTTCACATGATTGCGCAATAGAAGTTTAGAGGAGGGGGGGGGGGGGGCCTGTTCAGCAATGCTAGCAGCTTCAGCATATGCATCTTGAATGCTCTCAGAAAGCCTATGAAGAAATATATTTGAGATACCTCCAGCAGCAACAATGAATGGGCCAGTGGCTAATGTTATTAGTGCAATTTGCCAGCAGTTGACAAATCCAATAGCAAGACCACTGAAAAATGTAGCCATATTATGAATATAATTTCCGACCTGCATCATCAAGCGCCTCTTTCATCAGTTTACAGAAAACATTTGCACAGAATAGAAGTAGAGGGGAGAAGCAGTTGATTTAGATTTAACATACCTTTTCACTCAATGCAGATTGAATGAGGAGCACGTCACTCAATACTTGGCTAACAATATCCCCGTTATTCCCATATGTATCGAAAAAGCTCATGTCTTGATTGAGTAATACCTGAACATACTTTGACCTGATGACCGCGGTCTGACGTTCCCCAGTTAAAATCCAGCAGGAAACCTCTATTACAGATAAAAAGTTAGAATTGATGGCTCTAAAGAGGCCATTATTCATGAGCTGATAACAAAAATACAATAAAGCTCATTATGGTGAATATATGAATTTTACCAATCCAACCAGCAGCAAAAACTCCCACGGCTAAATAAACAATGTGCATAGCAAGCTGCAGACAAAGCATAACATGGTCAAATAAAAAAAGGTACATGTTTGCAACTTCAACTGGACAAATAGATTTCAGAGAACATGAAACTCAGGACCCCCGCCCCAGTTGGAAACCAACACATTAGAAACAATGAATCAGTAAGGAATAATTAAAGCCTTAGATGGTCACATATACAGCAAATGAAGTTCCAACTGGGCAACGTGTATGAATACATACAGCTATGTCTCCAAGATTGAGATATGACTCATCAAAGATCAAGTTCTCAGATGTGAAAATCGACTCCTATCCAAACTTCAATAGGTACAGGATCCTGATACTTAACATGTATTTTATTCATATGCTCCTGCCTAACAGTCAACCTCGGATCCAGCTTGGCTTCACAAATTTCATATATTGACCAAAAAGTAAAAAAAGAGCAATCCGAGTTGTTGTAGTTTTTGGTTAATGCTAGAGAATGAGAGAGGGGAAGGGGGGATTGAAACTCAGGGGTGTATGGTGTACTTAGTTGCGTTATTTGGAAAACCCTTAATTTGTCGCTCAAATTGGAAAAAAAAAATGAAGACCTGATTGCATAGAGCTCTTAGTAGTCTATTCATTATACAACCTTTTCTTCCTCCAGAATTACCAGTATTCCTTTACTGATTACAAGGACAAAAAAAAAACACGTGTATTACTAACATTTTCTATCACGGTAGAAGAATTTGTTTAGAAACAGAAAAACCGTGGGAAACTACAATTAGACTATATGTTCAGTTTCTTTACACAAAAATTACAACATTAAAAACAGTAAATCGCAGTTGCTTCCCAAACAGAACCCTCTCTCTCTAATTGCCTCCAGTAGTATAACGCTGCACTTTCATTTCTGAACCAATCTAACTGGCAATAAGCTAAACAAGACTAATTAAACAACGATTAAGCATGTTTAACAACTAAAACATATCAAGTCCCAAAAAATTGAAACTTTCTCAAAATAGAACAAATTACAAGCATAATTAACCAAGCCCAGCAAACTTAACTACCAAAAAAACTATTCAACTTCAGATTTTAACTAATTTTCCAATTCCTAATAACCCTCATTACTAACTAAATTCACCTAGCCACCCCAGCAAAACAACAGATTATGAATCATTTTTCACTCAAAACTCCGGAAAATTAAAAACGATTAGGGTTTGCAAAAATAACTCACATCAGTAAACCTGTCAAATCGCTCCTCCGGCGCAGTCCTCAAAACCCCAATAATCTTCCCAAAGTAATGCAAGTAAACAACAAGAGCAGTCCCATGCGCAGCCGCTGCAAGCGACCCAACGATCATGAGCCCCCAATCTAACCTATCAGCACAAGCAAACAACCCGGAGAAAGGAACAGCAGCTGGCGGCGGCTCCATCTCCTCGGCCTCCTCGATCTCCTCATCTGCTTCAGCTTGAGCCGCCGCAGCAGCGGCGGCGGCCGCCTCCGCACTGGTATCTAAGTACGGAGACGGACTCTCCGGCGGCTCGGAAACCTCGGAGACCGGCGTCAACGGTTGTATATGCGGCGGGGACCATCCGAATAATCCCCTGGAGATCATCATCTTGGGCAGATGACTATCTGTTTGTTCTGTCGTTAAAAAACCCTAATCGATTCCTTTTACCTCTAAATTTAGCAGCAGATCTGTGCTAAATTTAGAGGCCAAAATTCGAATTTTTGTGCGTTTTGAGGAGCTGAGAATAAAATTTAAGAAAAAAATAAAAATGGGATCTTTTTCTTTCGGTTTTGGGTGACTGGACCGGGTCAAAAAGGAGGATTTCCTAGAGAGAGAGGGAAGGAGAAAATGTTGACTCACACCAGCTGAGGTACCAGACTGGAAATGACTGTAAGGAATACTGCCCCCTCTAAAACTCCTTTCTTTTCTTCCCGTATTTGGCTTTTTGCATGTGATAGTTTTTGTTAGGTTAACGGTCATCTCCCGCCTCTATTTTGTCACAATATCAGGAAACTCCGGGGATTTTTGTCCTTTAAACTTTAGAATATTGCTTTTGACTACACAATCGTTTTGTGCAAATTTTTTTTCCAGTTCCCTGAGTCATGCCAGTAGAAACAATTCATGTTATATATATAAGTGATTATTTACGGGTGTATCAGGATGTGTTTTAAAATATTTTTTATTTAACAATATGTTAAAATAATATTTTTTTATTTTTTATGGTGGAATATTAAAATGATAAAAAACAAAAAATATTCAAAGAAAAACTAAATGACAGCTCAACATACAGTCAAATAAACTCCAAATTTCATGCTAGTAAATCTGTCATGATATATTATTAATCAATTGATTGAATTATGGACTCTGTGTTAACATCGGATTAACATATTCTATATATTAATTTATTGATTGTCATATTTAAACACTTTACAATATGGATTTTCTATGGGAAATTACTATTTTATTGGTCATGGTTTCTTTATTCTAAACAAATAGTGTATTATCAAAAAATGATTCCAAATACCACTCTGGAATAAGAAGTTTTTCGAGTGTTGAACGGGCTTTACAGCAGGCGTGTTTTGTAGGGGCATATCTGGGAATCGAAAGCAAAAATATTTTGTGTTGGTTACTGTGAAAGACAGCTGTTTTGAGCTGTTAAGAGGTGACACGTGGGAGTGTTGGATGAATGTTTGGTGAGGTTATTGTGGCTTTGAAAATAAAGAGAAAAAAAAGGGTTTGTGGGGATGGCACAAGGGAAGACTGGGAGCGGCAGCATCATTGAGGGGGATGGTGGGTTTGTTGCAGAGAGCTTTTCTCTGTGTTGCCAGTGCATCTGCTCTGTTCCATCTGGCCCTTCTTTCTTTCTTTCTTTTTTTAAATTTATATTTTGAATCCCATGCTTTTGTGCGTTTGATTTGGACGCAACTTGTTTGTCCTTTTTTTTCCTTCATTGATACTGAAAAACAAACAAGTTCCTAAGTTGTCTCCTTGTAATATATATATATATATATATATTCTTAACATGATGCTGTGGGCAATACACCCAACAAGAACAATGTATTCTCGTTGCCATCAATTATGGTGAAGTTTCAGCATAACAATGTTTAGCGCTAATTAATAATAGTTTAGCTTTTTAAGGCCACGTAATTAGTTGATAGATTGATTATATGGATTTAACCTTGATATGAAAGGGTACTTAATTTCAATAATTGAATATTTTTTGTGCCTAGATTGCATTGGAGCGTGAAATTACATGATTGTTAATTTAAGGTATTGTTTCACGTCCAGGTATTCTTAGCTTTTTGCATGGAGATTTTGTGTATTGACACGATGGGATGTACGAAGCTAGTTATTTAATTAATAGAAGCCGTTCTGGTCAGAAAGGAGCACCGACGGGACAAGAGGGCCATGACTAAAAGAAGGCACCTACACAGGTGGCTGTGAGGAGTGAGGCCCGAAGGCAACTAATAACGGATAAGCAGCGGGGGAGCTGAAAGGAAGACAAGCTCTCCACCACAAAAACATCCTTGAAGTCCGCAGGACAAGAATGTCTCGTCCTAACAGGCTCCCCACAGATCAATGGCTCTCACCATCATCAGTACATCATAAATTATCTTAAAATTCTCTCTCTCAGGTCCTCCCTCTCTGTAAACGAACAATATATCTACGTGGATGCTTGATATCACATTATGGGTTTCGTGTTTACGTGCACAGGTAGGAGTACAAAAGAGTCGTGGAATGTTCTTTCTGTAGAAGAGGCCTTCCTTTTCTTGTTAAGCTGAGCAGTCGTCAGCGTCTTCAGCTTCTCATTCTCAAGGTGAGTTTTCTTCAGTTTAGTTGCTATAATTTTCTTGATGGAATGAACAATGTCCTTGCCACTACTTCATTATGGCACTCATCTCGGTAGATGTTACTGTAAATTGCAATTCTGATGGATTTGATCAAGCATTTCTTCCTTGGAAATTCAGTGGTTACTGATCAAAAAATGGAACTAGAATCTCATAATTCAAGGAAAATACTGCTGTATTTAAAATGTGTTCCTGTGAGAATCTCTTTTGGCAATTTGGTTATGAGGGCGCACTTGACAGATGCCAATGAAATAAGATTTTGCTGAATTCGAAGTTTAACCACCTTTAGATTACTGGATAAAAGGCCAGAACCACACCCCGTAGAAAATTGAACTTAAAAGGCTTTTCTTTAAGTTGAACGAAGCAGTGTCGAAGAGACCTTGTGTTTTGGTTTGTTTAGTTGCGCTCTTATCTCTTTGCAGTTAGATCTGGGAGACGCGAATTGATTGCTGCGAGTGTCATTGCTCCGTGGGTATCCATGGTTAACCATACTTTTCCATCGTGTAAGCAACCTTTTTTCGATGTTTTTGTTCTGATTAGCTAATGCAGTTCAGCAAAGAAATAAACTTATAGCTTAGAATCAACTTTGTCAGTCCCTCGGGATATTATGATTGCTGATATCCTAAGAGGACATCCTTGATATGGTTCCGTTGCTGCAGAAACTAAAAAGGGATTTCTGCTAGTCACGGACAAGAGGATGGATACTCATTTCTCTTCCCATTTGGGTGGCAGGTATGGTTGGTTTCCCAAACCTTTTCTTTTCTGTTCCTCTTCTCGTGTTCATAGCTCATTCATTCTTCTCTTTTGTTGATATATCAGCTAGCCACACACAACAAAGACTTGATACAACGTTTTCAGAACGGTTCTTCATATTTCCCGTTGTCTGTGGCAGGAAGTTGTCATTGAAGGTCAAGACAAGGTATTTAAAGATGTCGTTGAGCCATTAGAAAGTGTTAGTGTGAACATGAGCCCTACCGTCAAACAGGATCTTCGAGACATTGGTCCTCACAACAGGTTTTCCATGTATACTTTACCACCCAATTTTTTTCATCACAGAGGCGATAGCATTATTTTCCTTAATGCCCTTTCGCCAGTTTATAATTTGAGTTTATATCTCTAAGTGATGGAAGATGCTAATGCTTGTTATGCATTTATCCCACGTTGCTGAAACGTTGATCAAAAAAGTTCAAGCCCCTCCTTCACGGAAAACAAAACTAGTCGAGGCAAAAGAGGATTGATTTCTTGCATCTCCTCATTTATTTCTACCGGAGTTCATGCATGCTTATGAGCAGCATGTTCTCATTTCAAATAATTGTTGTGGTTGAATTATGCACGGTATTCTTTGTACTATTGAAATTAGACCACATCTATCCCCTTCTTAGTACTTAATTAGATGACTATTTAATCTTGCTTATGTAAATTTACCATTAAGGTTTGTTGAAAAAGGAACAGTTAACTGATATATATTGTGCAATTATGGTGCAGCACGATGTTGATGAGAAAGTTTATTATGCAATCGAGTCTGTTGCTCAGGCTCCAAATTTTACCTGCCATGCTCTTAGTGCAATTACTATTGGCAATGGCATTATGTAATTTCTTGCACCCATCCCATCATTCAAGGCTTACTCCTGTGGTTCCACAGCGATTTCATTAAAAGAGAACTGGAATAATTGGTTTGCAGTGATCTTGCTACCATCACCATCTCCTTTATTCTTTTCAATTTTTCCTATCTTTACTCAGTGCTGTCGCATTCACCTTGTAAGAACAGAATGCTTGTGGAACTTCAGGTAAAACACGTTAGGATTTTCAAAGTCTGAGATGATCAACTGGACAAGTTTTCATGGTCAACATGATGAAGGATTGCAGACGGTTGTTGATTCCTTTGAAATTTTCAATGTTTGATATGGCTGTTCAGTTTTCACTTTTCTGTTTAGGAACAGGCCTCTTTCAGAGCTGTATGAGGAACGTTTCTTGTCACCATGCATCCCTCCCGTTTTCATTCGTTGTTCTCCTTTTCCGCTTTCCTCGTGTAGAGGAGCATCTGATATCCGAAGCTCCATGCGTGTTGATATGAAATGAACTTCTCTTAATTATTCTTCAGTGTCATGATTATAATACAGGCACCATCCATCCATTGCTGTCCTCTTTAGTATATCATCCACATCATAACTTCTACAATCTAGGTTAAATGCCTGTCCCAATGTTACCATTTAAACGGTGCCCACCTCGTTCAGGGTTGGGAGGTGAGAGCCGTGAGGCAGTCAAAACCTGTACCTTCACATCCAACTTAACATTGTAAAACAGGGACAAACTCGAAAATAAAAAACGAAAAAGGAGGGAAGAAAATATAAACCCAAAGGTTAGAATTTAGATTCATTTCCGTAAAATGAAAATCATAGCCGCTAGATAAATATGATCATTTACTGAGACGGGAACTTGAATTTGCAGTTTCCTCCAAGAGCAGTTCTAAGACCTATAGATTGTCATACAGAATTTGAACAGCGAACTGGCATCAAGTGTTCTAGACCGGTAAAGTCTTTGCCAAGCCAAGGCTAAAACAATAGAGGTGGTCATTCACACATTCAAGCTGGCAGCATAACACCACCATCAGAAAATGGTGTAATAGGAAAACAGTTCTCAGCATATATTGAAAAAAAATAAACATAACATTGGAGTACTATCAGACTGCATTGCTAACAAAACTGTCAACAGTACTTTGCTCATCAAATCAAATAACTATAAAATCATAAATTTATATGATGCCAATCTTGTTTGCCACATCCAATGCATCATAATCGGGTGTCAACCTGACATATGCCTTCTTAGTTCCATCAGGCCTGCATTAAAATGGATACAGTTAAGACTCCATTGGAAGAGTAGATTGAATCATGCAATGAGCTCAAAACACAGTTAAAGTTAAAGGCAAAATCTCAATCATGAAACATGAACTCTAGATGAACTTGTATAAGATGATTCACTAGTCTAAAATACAGTTGCCTCTGGTTAGAACATGAACTCTAGATTGGAATTACTAATTAACAAGATTAGAGTGTCATGCATCTTGTCAAGATGGACGCCCCACTTGCCACAGTTATATAATGCATTAATATTCACCAGGATCAGACAAGAAATGATCCCCTTATCATAAATGTAAAACATCAAAATGTCTTGGCTTAAAGCAACTATGGTTTACCTGATCAAAGTGTTCACTTTCTTGGTCTGAATGTCATACATCTTCTTGACTGCAGCTTTGATTTTCTTCTTGTCAGCACGAATGTCAACAATGAACACCAGGGTATTGTTGTCCTCAATCTTTTTCATTGCAGACTCGGTAGTAAGTGGGTACTTGAGAATCTGATAGTGGTCCAACTTATTTCTAGGAGTTGCGCTGATGCGTGGATACTTGGGGTTTCTCTCCTTTTTCAATGTCCGGGGGCGGTGAAATGTAACCTTTGTCCGGATCTTCTTTGTTTTCTTAAATGTTGGCCCTGATTTCACAGCCCTGGCAGCCTTCTGGGCTTGTGCCTTTGGATCAGACTTTTTGGAAGCATCAGCTGGTAGAAGAAATGAGATCAAGAAAAAAAAAATCAAATCAATAAACTGTTTGTTTGAGAAGCGGGATGTGACTAAAAGATATGTAAAATACACAACACTTCTAGTTTACACATTACAAAATCAGTCGTAACATATAAATCATGGCTTTTATCTACAAGCACACAGCCCAATTTCTTCACTGAACCATGATTTCAACACAATCGGAAAAGCAATGCAGTTTCAAAACAAAAATGGAACAGCTGGAAAATCATCCAAATTAAATTGAAAAATTATATGAACCAAGAACAACATAAAATCACACGTAGCCAAAAGCTGCTTCTATCACACAAATCAGTTGTGCTCACTACAACCAACGCCACTTTTTTTTTAAAGACAAGTGCAGGTAGTCTGTAAAATTAGAAAGAAAAATCCCTTTTTATAACTGACCGGTACAGCACAGATCGTAATTAGACATCAATATAAAGCATGAACTAATCGCATAAATTTACCAGCTGCAGCTACTATGGGAGCATAACCATTTGTAAGGAAAAAAAGACCCAGCAAACCGATTATACATATATTCAAGACCATTGAAGAGTACGTAAACAATAAACGATCAACGGATGTTCAAAATTTAAAAAGTAAGAGAAAGAAACAGACTTACCTCTAGCTGGAGACATTGTAGCAACCACTTCCTAAGCACCACTAAACCTGATATCAAAAGCCCAAAACCAAAACTTTAGTAACAAAAACAACAATTCCAAAGCTATAACCTTATAAAAGAAAAGGCGAAAAGAGAATAATAAGTCAAGATCAAGAGTAACTTTGGTTCATTTCAAGACGAAAAGCAGATTTACAAGCGGGGTTTTGGATTTGAAAAACCCTACACGTAGATGACAGAAAAGAAATCTTCTGAAAAACCGTCCTATAGAGAAAAGTGAGGGTAGAGAGTAAACAGAGATAGGATGGACTGACCTTAGCTGCTGCTGCTGCTGCTTCTGCGGCTGTGAACTAGGGTTTTTCCTAGGCGGGGAAAACTTGGGGTGGTATATATAAGATCTCGAAAATACTAATTTAACCTCGAAGTTGGCTGTGAGATGGGCTAGTTGTTGATGAGAAACGTTTATTGTGGGCTCCGCTTAAGATTTGCTACTTTGGGCTTTAAGTTCTGTGGCCCAACAAGAGGCATTATTTGCTGATTGTTCCCGTGGAAGTATTATCCTTTTACTTCGTTGAAAATATTTCCATTGAAAAGTTAAAAGGTTTTGACTTTTAATTAAATAAAAAACTTTACTCAGTTTTTTAATAAACCTATGGTTTAAATTAAAATTTATTTATGACCAAATATATATTTATAAATTTTGTACAAGTCAAGAGTTAAAAATGCAGACATAATCTAAATTTAGGTATTTTTTTGCATGGATCTCTTTTAAAACTTAAAACGCACGTTACACGCACAGACATGCATGAAACTGCAACTCCTCACGGTGGGATAAATTTGTTCTTGTGCGGAACTCTTGCCCAGCTAGGCCGGCATGGGTAAGAGTCGTCTTTGATCGCCAGTGATTCCATGACCTCAAAGGTTATAGTAGAGAAAACATGGAAAGAAAGCATGCTAGTATAAAAAATGAGCAATGAAAGCCAGAAATTTCAAGTCATTAGCTAATCAACTCCAAACTCAATGGCCTTTTCTTTAAAAATTAGCAACTTAAATGTGGTTCAATAATAATAATAATTTAAAATATTTTTTTATTTAAAAATATATTAAAATATTTTTTTAATATTTTAAAAATTATTTTTAATATCAGCACATTAAACACAAATTAAAATTATAAAAAAAATTACTTTAAACAAGATTTTTTTATATAATCCAAAAAAAGCACCATTGAAAACACATCGAAAATCAATCTTATCATACCAAACCTAGATATCAGAGATATTGGCGACACCAAAAAATCATTTGTTACCATGAAGTGCTAAAGGCAGACTGTTTTGCACCGATGAACTGAACTTCTTTAGACGTTTGAAAGTCGTAACGACCACAAGTAATATTTTGTAGGTCTATGATACGCCGGCGATCTTTTTAACAGATATATGAATATTTTATTATTAAGAATTGCTTGAACCCAAGCCCATTCTGTGTTTTATTTTCAGCCACCACAGGAATTGATTATTCATAGCTGGGTAATTATTTCTTGGATAAGATCTAAAAATTAAGACTTTTTAGTCTTGATTTTGTGTTATAATCATGAAATGAAATAGAGTTGATTAGAATGCGCTGCTTTTTATTTATCGGGGATAATCTTGGAGGTGATTTTTGCGACCGAAGATTCCAATTTCGGGAACGAGATTTTAGGCAGGAGCCAATATTAGACGACATGTCATCCACGAAGGAGATAAGCGGCCCACCGTTGCGGGTTTTTATGGGCTGTTGCTTTCTTTATCTTTAGCGGGCTGGCTCTCGGTTCGTACTTAATTATTATTATTTTATTTTGTTTTGTTTCTACATTGCAATTCCTAGGGGCTGGCAGAATCGTACGTACACAAAGTTTGAGTTAATAAACTCCTGGGATTGGTTCTATAAAAAAAAAATACTTAAACGTTAGGCGGACACAAGTTTATATTTATCAATAAAAGTAAGATTCGGTCTAGCAGGCAGCAAGAAAAGTTCGACCTTGTAACAACTGTTATG